AGTTGCTGCTTCTTGCACCTCTGGCTTTTGCAAACTGGGGGCCCAAGAGCTGCACCCAGGGATTTTATAGCCGTTCTTATCGGTCCTCAGGATCAGGGACCAATCATATGCCTCAACTGGTCAACTCAGCCAATAGGAGGGCACGCTTATTCAGCTGGAGCTTTTTGACTTCTTAGAAATATTTTCCAGCAAATTAAAAGTACCTGCTGCCAATGTTTTATATGTGTGTGTGGCTGTGTGTGCAGAGATGTGTGAAAAAGCTATTTTCACAGATTAAGGAATGACTTTATATTGATTGAACTAAAGGAAAATCTGTCCAAGTGGTTTTTGAACAGTATTCATCTTTTTTTTTTTTAAAAAAGGAGTTATTGAGGGCCATGGGAGTTATGGGTATGATGGGAAGGTGTAACTCTTTGGATTGCAACTTAATCTAAATAGAGCTCCTTTGCTCTAACTTTAACAGGATGTTCTGTTTTTTAAGCTGGGTACAAAACAGTGTCTCCACATCTCTGCACGTTTGTGTTCCCACATACTATGCATCTGTGATGCATTTCTGTGACCTGCAAGCATCCTATACTCGGAATCACATCCGTGAGCCATCCAGGAAGGATTTGTGAGTGGAAGAGTCTTGGTGGATTGAGATAAGACAGCTCTGAGCTGCAGACCCAGCTCCTCGATTGATTAACTCTATGACCTTGATCAATCCTTTCCCCTTGCTCCATCTCTGTTTTCAAACCTGTAAAATGCTGGAGTTGAACTCTGGCTGTCCTTACACCTCCAAAGGGATGTGATTCTACAGTAACACAAATTAAAAGACTCCACCTTTTCAGTCACTAGCTGAATTGCGAACTCCCAGGGTGTCAGTGACCAGAGGCACGCCTGCACACCTCCCACAGCACACTAGACAGAGACCTCATGAATGCCTGGAAATTAATAAGCTGTGGATTCAAGCCCAGGAACTCCACAATCACGTTTGAAACCATAAGCTGGTCAAAGCAAGATGAAACCTGCTGGGTAAACCAGTTCATTTCTTGGGGGGTGGGGAGGAGGCAGGGGGCGGGACTGGGAAGAAGGGGTAGGAAAAGACCAGATTGTGGAGGAGAGAAGACTGATAAACTCCAGACTTAATGGGAAAATTACAGTGGCATCACCAATCAAGCCTACTATAGAAGCTTTCATTTTCTTATAAGTAGGTAACAGCAAGGCTTGTCTGTAACTTGTGAAGGAGGTTACCAACCTTTGAGAGGACTTCTCAGGGTAGGAAGGTGGTCATTAAGGGCTGTGCTGAAGTGAAGGGATTAAACTATAAAACCTTTAAAGGATTTTCAGGAGGGCCATTGGTGATTTGTACAGACTTAGGTAGGATGATCTTACAAAGAAACAGAGCCAGTGGCTGCACTTTAAATCCCCACATCTTCAAATGGAAGTGAAAGAGACCTCCAGCTCTACAATCACAAACCGACCAAGAGTGAGCTCTGTACACAGGGGGAGTGGGTTTGCTGGGTGACTTCCAGGCCACACTTGGTGAAAATGGGTTGTTGGAAAGTGGGGATGCTTGTACGTTTCAGTTTATATCAGTTGACAGTGTTGGTATTGCTCAAATACCTTTCAGGCTGAGTGCTGGGGTGAGAGGGGAATAAAAGAGGTCCAGAAGAAGGCAGATGAAGGATTCTTGACCTTGAGGTGCCTGTAGGCAGGTTGGGAAGATGCCCAACCTCCCTGACACCTAAAGATTCAAGATGTCATGGCCTTGCCTGGCAAAACATGTGCACTGAGAGTTCAAGCTAGAGATGTAGGGAAGGCTTTGTGGGGGAAGGAGGTGAGCTTCTGTGATTGCTTTTTAAGAATTTATGATATTTTACGTTTTAAATAAAATTCTTGTTTGGACAAGCTACAAGGTTTTTTTTTTTTTTTAATTGCTTTAGGCAGGACAGTATGTATGTGTAGCAATGCCAAAGTTACTCAGTGCAATAGGTCAACCAGCTCACAAGAAGACAGGTGCATATTCTTTCCAAGGGTCCTGACTTCTGTCCATCGGATTCTTCACCACCATGGCCACTGTCACTGTTAAAGGCACTGATGTTTGCTCCTCTTGCTGGACTTTCCCTGGTTTGCCCACTGGCATGCCAAGGTGATGGTGTACCTCCCATCCTCCTCCTTCTTTTCCCTACTCTCCAATGCTCTCACCAGAACGCAATGTCCTACACGTATGAGGATGTGTTCTGTATTTTTTCTGATGCTGATTTATTGTTCCTCCTTGTTTTTCTTGCTTACCATCACATGCCTGGAAATTTGTTGCTCTGCGTGCCAAGCCTTTCGCAATGGCAGGTAAGCTGTCATTTGAAGAAATACAATGGTGGCCAGCCACATGGGTTTGAATATAACTAGAGTGCACGTCAACATGTTGGAGGATGTCAAAACACTTGAGGGTGTCAATATGCTTGAGAAGATCAAGGGAGGGGGTTGAAGTCTAAGTGGTAATGCCCAACCTAAGTTCTTTTCCCAGAAGTCCACAATTGGAGGCTATCTGAACATCCATGATAACTGTACTTCTGTCTTGGACTTTATATGCCAGTCATTAAAGTCTTGGGAGCTCTTGTGGGAATGACTGGCTCCTCTGTAACTTCTCCTGCAGATCTGAGAGAATATGCAGGAGTTGGAATGTCAGATTTCAGAGTTTGAATTTCTCTTGCAAGCAGTAGTGAGTCCCAAGGGCTCTTGAATGGGAATTGTTTTAAATAATGTGTTGAAATTAGCATTTGGGAAAAATCTTTGCATTCATGCACATGATGGTTTGGACAAAGAAAGGAATGGAAGCTTTCCGACTAGTTAGCAATATCGGTTTGTGTTGATTGATGAGGTAACAATGGTGGTTGTAGGTAAGGAAGGAGGAAAATATGAAAAAAGTTTTAAATAAAATCGACACTATCAGTTAACCTAAGGAATTCCTAAAAAAGAATCTTTTCTCCTGATTTAATGATAAAGGAGATGATATACATCAGACTTTTCCCTCCCCATTTTTTGGTTGCCCTTAACTTGCAGGGACCACCTGGTATCCCAGTGGAGCAGGTACTCTTTGGTGTTCTGCTCAGGTTATAAAGTTACCTAACAAAAGGAACTGACTGTACTTTGGGTGGGTGAGGAGCCTTCCCAAGCCTGGCCTCTCGGTTGGAGGTGCCCCCGGGGTGCAGTGGGTGGCAGGGGAGCTAGGTACCCTGTGCCATTGCATCTGAGCAGAGTAAGTGCTAAGTGTGAGCGTGAGCGTGGAGCTGCCAGTACCTGGGGCTGGGTGACGATGCCCTGGCTGTGCCCGTGCAAGGCTGCCAGGAGTTCAGTGAGAAGATTAAGCCAAAACTCTCCAGGGCTTTGTTGGATTTGGCTAGCTTAACTCGAAGCAGTGAATAGCTCTTTACCTTTTTGGTGAGAGGAGCCCAACAGCTTGGTTTCTTGGTAAATGTTCTTTTTGTTAGTGGAGAGCAAGACTCAGCAAGGTGGTCTGACATAGTGACCGGGCTTGGGCCATTTTCTTTGGCAATTCTGGGCCTGTGTGTTTTCTGTTGATGGTTGGACTGTGATTTTTTAAACTCAAGACAAATGTGGGGGTTGGCAGTGGGGGGGGCGGTGGGGGGATGAACTGAAAGCTTTTTAAAATTTTTATTTTTCTGTGAAGACACCAGGTTTTCAGTATAGATGGCCTCAAATCCTTGAATGAATCTCTGCCTCTTGCATGCCTTTGATTGTTTTAAACTCTATCAAAGAAAGCAAACAAGGAAATACATTAAGATGGCAAATTCCCTCCATTCCCCACGTGCCCAGAGCATGCCCTAGTTTATGGAGTGTCACTGTGTGACTGGCACTAGGTCAGGTAGTGGTGAGAAATGCAAGAGATGGTTGACCTTTTCCCATGCTTAAGGAATTCCCAAGCTAGTCCTTAAAGGATGCATGTTAAATCTTTTTTGGGGGAGGGGTGGGGTGAGGAGAATGTAATATAGCTAGTGAATTAGAATAGAGCTTATAGGTTTGAAACAATTAATTAACATTTATGCATGCATGTCTATGTGAGGCATCACTGAAGATGCATCCTATTTTGTAATAACAGGAGTGCTCTCTTTCTTTCCCACTGGAGAAGACCAGGACCCATGGCGAAAAATGGCTTGCTTGTGGTCATAGTGTGAACAGTGGGAAAAATCTCCTGAGATTTGCTAATTACAGAAATAGTTCTGGGTTCTTGTGTGGCCACCACAGTAGCAGAGAGAGTATGAATGCTTAGAGCCCTTGTCTTGAGGGGCAAGAAACACACACACACACACACACACACACACACACACACACACACACGATGACTTAACAGGCTTCAATCAGAACAGGCAAATTGAAATTAGCCTTCTCTCTTGTTAACATCTGCTTCTCATTGCTTCAGGTATAAGTTGTGATGCTTCTTTATATCCAGGAGGACAAATTCATACTCCTAGGGCAGCTTTCCCATCTCCAGAGATACAGCAGGCTACTGAAGCAAGTGTGAAGAGGTTTTGTGGGTCATCTGATCTGTCCTTTAAAATAGCCCTACGAAAGACCTAAAGTGAAATTACTCCTTTGAGACACATGGGGGCGCTCGAATCAACCAACAATGTGGACACATTTCCTTTAAATTGAAAAAAGGAAAAAAAAAAAAAAAAAAGCAAAAATAAATAAATAAATAAACAAAAACTCCCAGTTGTGAATCCTGGCTCTGTTTGCTCATTATTTCATGCCATCAGAATGCTTCTTAGGGGGACAACACAGGTTTGTAGTCCATACCTGTTACTTAGCTAGTGAGCTTGCAGCCTAGTATGGTTCTCTCTTCTTGGAAGTGTTGCAGTATAGACCATTTTATGTACTATTCTTGTATTGTCTAATAAGGAAATACGTTGCAGGCAAGTTTAAGTGTTCTTCCCTATTCCTATGGGAGGATATTATCTGTACTCACATTGTTCAGGGAAGCTGAGGGAATAATCAGATAATACACTTGCAGTGTTTTGAATTCCTTCGTTAAAAAGGGATTTCATTTCAAGGTTAGAGCTAGCATTGCTTCCCATTACCAAAGCAAAGATACATCTTTCATTCATTCTTTCATTTGGCATTCTTTCTTCCAGGACTTTCTAGACAAAGGTTAAAGCTGAGTAACTTTTCACACAATTTCTATCACTTTCTGTGGTTGTCCTGCAGTTTGGAAATCTTCCAGAGCATTGTGGGAAGCACACACGAGGCAAACTCATGTAAGTTTGCCTTCTGCTTCTTGGTCCTGCTCCAAAATGCCTTTGTGAAGAAGGGGTATGCATTCTGTTGGTGGCAGGGGCTGATTTGGGATGCCACAGGGGTTGTGCATGCTGTCACATTGCACATATTTGAAAAGACCTCTTGTCCAGTGGTTAATGCAAATCTGAGGACTGGGGCTTTCTGCTCTCAGCCAAAGGACCCATACATTGGGTGTGCTCCATAAAATCTATGCCTGGAGTCAACACATACTCTCTGGAAGGCTCTGGTGGGAAGGTGAGTATAGTCAAGTCATCGGGGAAGGCAAGACTGCATGAACCTGGACACAAGGCAGCATCTGCCCTATTGAACAGTGGGATCGATGGATGATGCCAATGAGTTTGTGAAATAAAAATTAAAAACGTCCACTCCAACAACCTGTTCTGATGCATCATGCTGACATATTTAGCCCAAAGCCAGCTTGTCATTTGTAACAGGCTGTCCAAATAAAGAAGTGTCTTGCAGCCATTTCTGAGTGCTAGACAAAGCTATTATTACTAGCTTATTGGCTGAAAAAGGGAGGCATGGGAAGGAAGCAGCCTTTATTCAAAGTTACCTGGCACGTTGGCCAGACAAGGAGATCAGAGACGTCTTGATGTTTAGAAATCTTGCCAAGAAATTTATTGTGGCAATGCAGACGTATTTTATAATCAAGTTGCATTTAATATGTCTTAGGCTAAAGTGCAATTAAGATAAACCAGTTTCTGGCTCTGGATGGGTATCATGAGAGTAACAATATATTCTGATTACTGTATCAGAGTAATAAAGTATCATGCGCAGGATCAGAATTCATACTGCAAGGATTTTATAATGGTAGCAAAAATGGTCACCAAGTTCCATTGTGTTTGCTTTCATGGAATGCAGTTCTTGTCAGCTGTTTGGGAAATGAACTCTCTCAGCCCTTTTAAAAATTAATTGTAAGGAAATTTAGTGGAATAAATGGAAATCCTAGCGCAGAGGAAATGCACTCTGGCCTGCAGGCAAGCATTTTCTTGAACATCTCATTCCACACTCTCTGGTGACAATAATAGGGAAGAGAGAGAGAAAAAGTTACAGTTTTGGACAAAGTCACACGATCCTTAAGGGCAAAAATGTCCTCAGGGGAGCCACTGCCACCAAGACAAGGAAATTTAGCTGAAAAAGGTGTGGAATGGTGAATATTGTTCTTTTCCTACACCAAATTTTAATTATGTTTTCATGGCTGCCTCTTACATTTGTGGCTATGATAATCTCTTCATATAATTGTAGTCAATAGTGTTTTCTCTTGTTAGATTAACAAAGGAAGGGCAGTTGGTTTTGTGTGTGTGTGTGTGTGTGTGTGTGTGTGTGTGTGTAGTTACCCTTTTTTTCATTTGCCATTTAAATCACTCACAACAGACTTTGGAATACGGGAAACAATGAGAAATGAGTCACTCTGTTAAAATCAAACATTAGAAGTGAGAAGAGAGTATTTCCTGACATGATATTTAACAGACCTTGAAACATAGATGGATTTGAAAGAAAGGTCAATGTTTTGGGCTTTGCTTCTTTCTCTCTCTCTCTCTCTCCCTTTTTTTCTTTTTCTGCAAAGAAATAGAGAGATGGGCTGATCTCAGGAGCCCAGATCTTTCCAGATCACAGGAAGAGATGCATGGACGCGGAGTCATTTCCCTCCCCAGCCCTGTGGTGGCTCTTGTAGGAGCTTTTCCTCTCCAGCCAGCCTGAGGCGAAGGAGGATGTGAGGAGCGGCCTCGGGTCCACAGTGAGGGAGGTGCTGAGAATTCGTACCTTTTCATGACCCCGAGTGGCTCCTTTCAAACAAATGAAATGTCTTTAGAGGACCTTTAAAGCCCTGGGGTCTCCTTTCAGTCCCTCTCAGCCTCCTCCCCTACTCACTCCTGAAAGTGTCGCCGGTGCCATCCATTTGGAGGCAACCCCTGGGAGCCCCAGCTCCTTTCAGAGGCAGTGAATGCAGAGCCACCAGCTGTGAAATAGGTGCCCTGAATGGCTTTTCGCAGGGAGGGGCAGATGTACTGGGAAAGAGCTGTGCTTTACTGCAGGATCCTGTGGCTATTGCCAAAAAGGATTTGTTCTGTGGGGAGGAATCCGAACTGCTTGAGGAAGGTGAGGGTGGAGGGTTCCCCACCCCCTACCACTATTGGGCGAGTTGACTGGGCTTAGCTGTGGCTCTCATGACAGGGCTGGGTTCATACTTTGGTTTCTTATTGGTTAGGATTTTTTCAGCTCGAAGGTGTGTGTGTGTGTGTGTGTGTGTGTGTGTGTGAGAGAGAGAGAGAGAGAGAGAGAGAGAGAGAGAGAGAGAGAAATGAATGCATACACAAAGTTTAAGGGGATGGTCCTTATCAAAGTAACAGATGTCCTTCCTGATTTCTAGGTTCTCATTCTAATGGAGTCCCTGAATCACACAGCACAGCAAATGTATTAAAATGTACCCATATTCCATGGTAAGTATATTTTAAGTAATTTTATGTAAGGCGTTGAACAGCAGTTGACTAGTTGGTATGCTGTTCCATTTTGTAGATATTTACTTAAATATCTATTGCAAGGTTTTGCAGTTTTCCTTTTGTACGTCTTCCTTTGGAATTAGCAAAATTTCTTCCCAGTTCTCAATTATCTTTAAGTCTTTGAAAAGGTCACAGATGCTGGGCACCATCTTGTAGTGCCTAATGAGTAAGATGGGTCCGGTTAAGAAGGAGTTATCCGAGGAGAGCCAGAGGCCCATTCATTTAGACCCACATTCCCAGAGAATGTCCCCATAGTCCTCTGAAATGCATCAAGAGCAAGAGTTCCCTATGCTCAAATTCACTCTGGTGTGGAAATGTACCATGAACCTCCACAAATGGAAGGTCACCTAGAGATCCTGCAAGAAGAAAGCTTTTAAATTATCCAACCCAGTGTTTTCCAAATGCATTTTGTTCCGATAACCTTTTTTTTTTTTTTTTTTAAGGATAACACTCATTAATGCCCCAAAGAACTAGCATTCCTTGAACTAACTTGGAAAATGCTGGTTTATAGCCAGTTAGACTCTAAGTCCACAGGATGTTCCTTGCTCCTGCTTTGGACCAACTTTGATTCCTGCAGCCTCTAGTGCCCTTTCCAAGACTCACACCCATAAATAAACTTACCACCCTCAGGGATTTGAGTGCCGGACATATCCAATTCATGTCACTACTGCCATCTCCTTACAACAGTGTCCTGTCACGTTAGTATGCATTTTATATCCACAAAGGGAATGATTCTCGAGGCCCAGTCACTGTTCAACAGTGGGCCTATCTGACTCTAATGAATGTTTTCAATGACATAATAATCGTTTGTATTTATGAGATATGATATGATATTTCCAAACATGTTTATAATGTTTAAGGATCATATCAGTGTAATTAGCATTTCTATCACCTCAAACATGATCATTTCTGTGTGTTGGGAACAGTTGACGTCTTCTATTTTGAAACCTGAATCATCGTTAATGATAATCACCTTACTGTGCTGTAGAACACTAGAACTTATTCCTCCTATCTAACTATATTTTTATATTTTTATTTTTTTTTTATATTTTCCCATTATCTATCTGCTATCCATGCCACCTCCCTGCTATCCTCCCCATCTCTGGCTACCTCTGTTTTACTCTTTCTTTCTGTGAGTAGCTTCTACTATGAGTATGCGTATTTATCTTTCTGGATCTGGTTTCTTTAATATAATGTCTTTCAGTTCTATCTATGTCACAATATAGGACAGGATTTCACTCATTTTTTTTTTTTTACGGCTTAACAATATTCCATTGTGTGTGTGTGTGTGTGTGTGTGTGTGTGTGTATATATATATATATATCTATATATATATATATATATATATATCACTTTTTCTTTCTCTCTCCATCCCTTGATAGATATTTAGGTGGATTCCCTGCCTGGATATTGGGCATAGTGCTACCTAAACATGGGAGTGCAGTGTCTCTTTGACATACTGAATTCCTTTCCCTTGGATATGCTCCCAGTGCCCGGATTGCTGGGTCACGTGGAACTTCTATTTTTGGCTTTTGTGAGGAAATTCCATATTTCTTGCCATAGTGGTTGAGTTCAAGATTCTAACGATTGGTATGCTATAGAAGGAAATTAAAATGCATGTATCCAGAAAGAAGCTTTTTTAGAAATCTCGGATATGCCCAGGCCCCATGCAACGTTCCCTTGCAACATCTCCTATACCTGTCCTCTGCTGCTCTAGGAAAGGAAATAGGAGAGTAAGTTTCTCTTTGAGTCCGGGTAAACTCTAGCTTCAGCTGAACAAAACCTTTTTCAAACAGCCTGGGAGAGCCGAGCAGAGAGGAGAAAGGCAAAGACACCCCTGAAAGAGTACCCCTCCTCCTCCAGCTGGGACAGTCGCCTCCGGGCTACCACTGATGCCGGGGCCAGGCCTGCACCCAGAGTTTCGGGGAGGAGTGTTGCTTCCTCTGGAATTTCTTTGCTGGCTGCATCTCCTCATTGTCCCGTCAGCACTGACGACCCAAGCACGGCAGCTGCCCTTCCCTCTGTCCCTCATTGTTCCACTGAAATTGCTTTTGCCTCTTGCTGGCAAAAGGCCCAATCACGGGGGCAGCTCGATGGCTCTTTGGGTGAGTTCCTGAGGGTGTGTGGTTTCTCTCTCTGCGTAAGGAGAGGGACTGGAGAGCTCCAGCCCTGACAGCTGCTCGTTGGAGGGGTCTCAAGTTCTGGATCCTCAGAACCGCTGGCAAAGTTAGAAGCACAATGATGCCTTTCCTCATTCAGATGGACGTCATGGATACCCACCTGGGAGAAGTTACAAAATCGAATAGTTAAGCATTTCCTTTCACCGAAGGGCAACTCTGTGCCACTCGAATAGTTGACTCTCCATGAGTCAAGTCCTTTGTCTGGTCTGTATGGCCTTGTATGATGATAACCTTCCATGTCATATCTGTTTTGGTGGGGGTGATCAGAGGGGACAGAAATGTGTGCGTTAATGCTCTCCGGACATCCTAGCTATATGAAGTCATGAATAAATTTAAAAGCCAAATTATTGATATGAAAAGGATCATCCATGTGATTTTAGTTTTTGCTTTTACACTGTTTCAAAGTCAAGGTAATCAGTATGAATAGGAAGAAAATATGTGTTGTTAAATATTACTTAGGTGTTTGACATACTATGAAGGAACAATGACCTTCTTATATACCACTATGTTCATCTCTCTATTAAGATCACCAGTTTGGCTAAGTGGAAATTATGGGACAGTTGAGCAAATACTTGTGAATGTGTTAAAAATTCGGAGTCAATAATCGCATGACCCTGAGTATGTGTCAGGAAAGTCTTCCTAGAGGAGGTAAAATCTAGCGATAGCTAAGATGCAGTTAGGCAGTGTTGGGCAGGGCTGTTGGGTTGCCCAACTCTTAAGGGTCACCAGCTGTGGTTATGTGGGCTCTGTATCTTCTGCCCTCGGAGTCCAGAGTGGAGAGAAGTGAAGTTCTAGTGGTGAGGGACAGATTTCTACTAAGAGGGAACTGCATGTATGACCATTCTGAGACTGACCCTTGGGAATCCTTCTCTCCCCTGTCTTGTCATGTCCCTGCTTCCTTGTCCAGGCCTCAGGAATTCAATCTCTGTCAGTATAGATTTTCTCACTTTAAAAAAATTTTTTTTAGAATTTTAGGTAAATGAAATAATACAAGATTTGCCCTTTTTTTCCGGGGGGGGGGGACTGGCCTTTTCTTTGTTTGAGCACATTTATCAATAGTTCATTCATTCATTCATTCTTCTTGCATTGTATTTAAGAAATATTTGCCAAGTTCAAGGTCCTTACGATATTCTCCTATGTTTTCTTTAGGAGTTTTATGTTTAGCTCTTAAAGTCAGAAATATTATTGATTTTAAGATAGATTTTTGTATTTGATGTGAGGTAAGGGTCAAGGGTGATTATTTATTTACCTTTACATGTGATTATCCAATAGTTACAGCACGATTTTCAGGCAAGATTATTCTTTCTCCATTGAATTTCCCTAGCACGCTTGTTGAAAAATCAAGCATGTACATAATGTATGCATGCTTACCTTGTTACTTGCTTATGTCCTTTTATACAGTCTCCTCCTACCTTCATCCCTAATTGATAATGTATCATAGTGTAGAAAATATTCTGCTAGATACAGTGGAGTACAAAGTCTTGTCATTGTTCTAAAATTTAAATGGGGTTACATTGCACATATTACTCTGTAATATGTCTTTTTCCCTTTAAATACATGCCTTGTAAAACTTTTCATTAAGCAAACATGGATATACCTTATTTTAAACTTTTTAAAAAATAGAATTAATAACAAGGATGGTGGAATGTGATGGACATCATTATACAAAATACATGTATGAAGACACGAATTGGTTGTCAACATACTTTATATACAGAGATATGAAAAATTGTGGAATATATGTGTAATAAGAAGTGTAATGCAAAAAAAAAACCAAGTACATGTATAAAAACATGAATTGGTGTGAACATACTTTATACAAAGATATGCAAAATTGTGCTCTATATGTCTAATAAGAGTTGTGATACATTCTGCTGTCATGTATTTAAAAAATAAAATCAATAAAAAAAGAAAAATAATAATTAATGTGTTAAATATACAACCAACCTCTAAGTGTAGGATATGTAGTATGTTCCAGGATTTCAATAGTACAAAGTGCATCATTGGAAGTGTCTTGGGTGCATGCCAATATAGTGAAACAACTGAGTCAAAGGGCATGTAAACTTCTATATATGCTGAAGAAGTACCCTCCTTAAAGCCACTTTGCATAGTTGAAGAGAATGGGCATTTCATCCATATACTCACTCTTAAGGTTTGGGTATAAAGTGTCCCCCAAAAGCTCATGTATGACATAATGCAAGCAAGTTTAGAGGTGAATTTAAAGGGTTATGATAACCTTAACCTAATCAGTGCATTAATTCACTAGTATGGATTAACTGGGTGACTGTGGGCAGGTAGGGTGTGGCTGGAAGAAGTGGGTCACTGGGGACATGCCTTTGGGGTTAATATTTTGTTCCTGGTGAGAACTCTCTCTGCTTTCTATTGCCAAGACTTGAGCTGCTTTCCTCTTCCATGCCCTTCTGCTGCGATATTCTGCCTTACCTGGGCCCAGAACTATGGAGTCAGCTGTTTGTGGACTGAGAACTCTGAGTCCGTGAGCCAAAGTAAACTTCTCCTCCTCTATGTTGTTCTTGTCAAGTCTTTTGGTCACAGTGACAGAAAAACTGACTAAATCGCTTGTCAATGTTGTATACCAGCAATTAAAAAAATGATTGTTGAAAACATATCAATGTTTTATTTTCTTAAACTAATTTGTCTTTCAAAGTGAATTTTTTCTTTTATTTATAGTTTGTTTTCATTTTTTATTTCTTTGAACTTTCACCCTTTTTTGGTGAAAAAAAATTTTCACCATATTAATATAAATTGTCAGTGGCATTCCTTTGTAACATTTTATTGGTAGCCGTCATTAAATCTATTTGTGACTTTTAATATTACTTATATATAATCTCTCTCTAATTTTTTAAAAATCAGACTAAATACTCTTATAAATTTTAATATTACTTATATATAATCTCTAATTTTTTAAAAATCAGACTAAATACTCTTATAAAAATAAATACTTATTTTTATTCAGTATTTTCAAGGCATCATTTTTAAAAAGGCTTTATTTAAAAAAATTTTGTTCTTGGATTATTAATTTTTCTTGCTATCTTATTAATTTACTTTTTTGACTTTAAGCATGCTCCTTTGATGTTAGTTTTATAGTCTTTGGAAAATATGTAAACTTTTTTTGCAATATCATTCAATGTTTTTATTTGTTCTGATTGGTTATACATGACAGTAGAATGCATTTTGATACAGCATACATAAATGGAGTATAACATCTCATTCTTCTGGTAGGTAACCATTTTTGACATGATTAATATGCTACATTCTTTTTTTTTTCAATATTTATCTTTTAGTTTTAGGTGGGCACAATATCTTTATTTTTTTAAAAATTTTATCTCAGAATCAAACCTAGTGCCTCACGAATGCTAGGTGAGCTCACTACTACTTGAGCCACATCCCCAGCCCTATACTACGTTCCTTTGTGCAAATTTATTAATGTGTAATTTATATAAAATGCAATTATTTTCATTTACCCACCCCTATTCTTTCGGTTATCTTTTTCTCATCTTTTACTTCCATATGTTATAAATCCCATCTTCTGTGTGTATTTTTGCTTTCAACAACTAGTTTGTCCTTTAAATAAATCAGAGAAGAAGAACATATATTTAGTCACTTATTTGCCATTTCTGGCTTTCTCCATGTCCTCAAAGACCCCAATTTCCATCTGCTTTCACTTCCCTTCAGACTGAAGGCTCTTCCTTAGCATACTAGTAAAGATCCATTGGCAACAAATCATTGTGGTTTTTGATTTTCTAAAGTATCCTTGTTTCACCCCCATGTTTGAAGGTGAAATATTTCCTGGATATAAAAGTCTTTCTGCACTCCAGTGATGCCCCACTCCATTAAATTGTGGGCTCCGTTGTTTCTGATGAGAAGCTGGCAGCCATTCTTATCTGTGTTCCCCTGTATAGAATTAGGTTTTGTCCCCCACCTCCACCGCCTTCCATCCCCAGCTGATTTTAAGACTTCTTTAGTGCAATATTATAATGATCATCCCCAAAAATAGTTCTCTTCCTATTTGTCCTGCCTAGAGCTTATTGAACTTTTTGGATTTGTAAATCAGAGTCTTGCTTTTTTAAATCAAACCAGGAAAACCTTTAGTCATTATTTATTCACATATTTTTTTCTTCCCCAGTCTTACTTTATTCTCCTGAAATTCTTATTATACATGTTATACCTTTTGATATTTTCCCACCAGTCCCTGGGAATGTATTCACTTTTCTTCCATCTTTTCCCCCTTCTGTCCCATGGGTTGAATAATTTCTACTATTTTGTCTTTGGATAGACTGGCATAGACATCTAAGAGGACCCATTCACATGAGTAGCAGTGATACTGGTTGTTAAATGGAGGTGACTCAGATGGGTAGTCAGTTTGGCTGGGATTGTCAAACAGAGCATCTACATGTGGCTCCTGCATGGAGCTTGAACTCTCATGCCATGGCAGCAGAGTGAGTGTTCCGAGAGACACATGAACTCCAGGATTTCTTATGGCTTGCCTAAGATGCCCCATAGTGTCATTTCCACTGCACTCTCTTCGACAAAATTTAGATGAGACTATAGGAGGTTGACACAGTCATTTTGAAAAAGAACGGAGATATCATTGTAGGAAATACATGTAGAAAAAAATACAATGTACCTCAGTTTCTTTAGAGTCATTGCCTGGTAAATATACCATCTGGATCATCTTGGTGTTTTTTTTGGGGGTGGGGGGGGTACCAGGGGTTGAACTCAGTGGCATTCAACCACTGAGTTGCATCCCCATCCCCATTTTGCATTTTATTTAGAGGCAGGGTCTAACTGAGTTGCTTGGTACCTTGCTGTTGCTGAGACTGGCTTTGAACTTGTGATCCTCCAGCCTCAGCCTTCCCACCCGCTGGGATTACAGGCATGGGCCACTGTGCTTGGCTGGTTTCAGTTTCTATTGATCAATTTTTCCCCTTTATAATTGGCTCATTTCTTGTTTCTTTGTATGCTTAACTGTCTTGAATTAACATTTAGATTAATGCACTGTAGATACTGTGGATTGTGTTATCTTTCTTGAAAGATTATTGAGGCATATTTTAGTAAGCAGTGAGATTAGTGATTGGTCATTTTTGAACCTGAATAGCCTTGACTCTACATTTTATTTGGGTAGATATACTTCTCAACCCCTCATGAATCCTGGCAGTCCCATATAACAAAAGAGATCTCATGTTCCTCACATCTCCCTTCCAAAAATATCTTATTAGTGCATGGTTTTAGGCACTGCTGATTTGGAGGAAGGTCTGGAATAAGTCCTACACTGGGGCATCATCCTTATTCTTAAGGTAAACTTTGCTGGTAATTCACTCTGGACTTGGGGAATTAGCAAGAATTCTCCACTTACGACCAGGCCAGATAGATGTCCAGTGTACTGCTCTTGCCTCAACACAACCCAACCCCTAGAATCTCTATTCCATTTTCATTCCCATTGCAGTTTGCTCTCTGGTAAGAATGGAGTGGAACTCTCTTGTGCCAGTCCAGTCCAGTCCTCACCCTGGGCTCGTGGAGGAACTCAACATAGATTGTTGGAGTCCCCAACTTGGCACTTCCTTTTCTTTTATGCTTTGCCTTGTAGAATCAGGTGTTCTGAATTCTGATTTCCACCTCCCAAGTTCAGCAGAACAGGAAAGCTCTGCTCACTTCCTAATTTTTCTTACTCTCAGATATTACAGTTTTATCTTGCCTAGAATCCAATGCCTTGAAAGAGTTTCCTCATATATTTTGTACAGTCTTTAAATTGTTTATGGTGAGAAGACGAATGTAATACCAGTTACTCCATCATAGCCAGAAGCACAAATCCAATCATTCTTTTAATTTACGACTTCTCGGTTTTGTGTTATATTTAGAAAAACTGTCTCTGTTCTGAGATTACAACAAAAAACTATTCCATAATTTTTTTTCTGGCACTATTTATGGTTTTAATTTTTAAAGAGTTTAATTTCTGATCTAGCTAAAATGATTTTGATGATGTACACTATGAAATATGGAGCCAATTTCATTTTCCCCTCACAATGCTTACTCAGTAGTCCAAAACCATTTATTTGAAAAATCCTTAACTTTTAACAACTTATGTGAAATGCCTCATGATTTACTGTATTTTAATTCTTATTTGATGATATTTCTGGACTTCCTAGACTCTTACATTGATCATCTGTTCATGTACTAGTATATCATTGTGTTTTATAAGTTTTTGATAAATTTTAATATGTTATAAAGCTATTTCCTTCTCAGTGATCCTCTTTTTCACAACCCTCTCTATATTTTGGTGTGAACTATAAAGATGAAAAATGGTATTGTTGAAAAATTCTATTGTTATGAATTCAGTTTATACAATTAGTTTAGTATGAACTTTATCTTTGCGTGGTCATTCTATTCAAGAATGCACATTATCTTTTTTAAGTGTTCTTTTGCATCTATCAACAGCACATTTCTTGTTAAATTTTCATTTAGGTACATATTTTAATGGAAGCAATTTTTCCAGCGTATCTTCAAATTGGTGATTGTTTGAGTTCATGAAAGTCTTTGGGAAAACATGCCCATTGATCACTCATTTCTAACCGTGTTTAACAATGCCCTAAGATGATATAGATGTTCCCCTTTTAATATAGCAATGATATATTTGCAAAATTACAAGGAAATCATAAAGCAATAAATAA